ACACTGGCCAAAGCACTTACAATGGCCTTTGCCATCACCCAGTGAAGCTTTCCCCGTGCTACATCTTGTCCTTCCCCACCACCCAGCGGTCACTTAGGTACTCCTCCTACTCCCTTCACTGTGGGGAGACATCGTTGACTGAACCAGGAGGTATTACTTTTATTATTTTACTTCATTTATAACCTGCCCTTCTCCCCAGTGGTGACCCAAAGGAACTTGTATTGTTCTCTTCTCCATTTTATCCTCACAACAGCCCTGTGAGGTAGGTAAGGCTGAGAGTGTGTAACTGATTTAAGGTCACCCCCACAAGCTTTCACGGCAGAGTAGGGGTTTGAATCTGGGTCTCCCAGATCCTAGTTGGACATCTTAACCACTACAGCGCCCTGAATTTATTTGATCATGGAATTTCCTTGTCTCTCTTGGGAAACAGGGGGCTGTGCCTGGGGAGGAGAGATCAGAAGGGATGTGGTGCAGTAGAAGATGCCTCCAGAAGCTGCCATTTCTACCAGGTGCCAACATATCTGAGGGACCACCTCTACTGGTATGTTCCCCAAAGGGCGTTTTGCTCAGCTAGTAACAACTTGCGAATGATCCCCAGCCCAAAGGCCATTCAGCTATCTTTGACCAGGGCCAGGGCCTTTTCAGCCCTGGCCCCAACCCGGTAGAATGCTCTGTCCAATGAGATCCAAACCCTGTGAGACTTGAAACAATTTCACAGAACCTGTAAGATGGAGTTGCTCCACCAGGCGCATGGTTGAGGATGAGTGATGGCCCCCCACTGTGGACCAGTTCTGGATCTGCCCTATTGTGCCATCTAATGTGGAATTGTTAACATTAGGATTGTTAATTTTAATCCAAACTGTAATTAATTTAATTGTATGTTGTGACCTGCCCTGAGCCTTACTGCGTAGGGGAGGGTGGGCTATAAGTGCAATGAATAAGTAAATAAATAAATCTCTGAAGTTTGGAGATGCGTGAATTCTCAAAAGGTCCTATTTTGAGGATTATAACCCTAGCCTCCAGCTGGGATTCTGAACTTTCAGATCCCAGTTGACAGGGGAAAATGAACTCCAGTTTGCCAAAGTGCCTGCATTCATACATCGTGGAAAACTGGGGCTTGTTTCAACGCTTCCCAAGCAAAGAAATATTTAGTTGCACTCCACAAGTGAGAGAAAGGGAGCATGCACGCTGGGCTAATGCCCGCTCTTGAAAAACAGAGACTTGGTTGCGATGGCTGGATGGCCCCACTGCTCATTTTTGAAGTATGAACTATCTTTCATGTGTTTAAAAACATGTTTGCAAATATAAACCTGATCTTTCTTGAAAGAACAAGAGATAAGTCTTAAAGATCAGGGGAATAGCCCCAGTCTTCCTTGGGGGCTTTAGAAGATGGCAGGCATGCCTTAGAAGAGAGAGGATCCGCTGCCCGACATTTTAAACTTCAGGATTGTATGTTCTTAGCGTAATTCAAACCTAATATGTGTGTATGTTCTCAGTGTAATTCAGACCTAATATGTGATCATTTACTGTAGCAACCACAAAACACTGAATTTGCAGTGCCTATTATTTTCAGTATCACAGAAATGAGACAGTCACACAGTCTAACCATTCAAACGACAGTTCAGGCTGAAGACTTGGGAGAAATTTCTCATCATTACATCATGATAGCATTACATTAACTTGGGTTGCTATTATTATACCTAGTTCATCATATTTACATTTAAATTGAAACAGAATATATTATTTTGCTAAATTAGACCCAGATTGTATCCACATCTCAAAAGCACATTTGGAAATTCATCGCTGTATATTTACGTACATGGCACATGCTGTTCTTTTAATTTACATTACTGTTAAAATATTTGGAATGCTTAGCAACAGAGTATTTGCAGCTCTGATAGTGAATGCAGGAATGGCAGTGTAAATTCTACAAAAGAGAACCTTCTTCTATATTGGAGTCTATGAAAAGAACTTTATATACATACATCTCACTTTTGAACTTGGCTGTGGTTGAAATTTACACCTTATGCAGACACTGCAAGGAATCCCACCATGGGGTTTTGAACCTGGGTCTTCCACATCCAAATCTGACACTCTAACCACTACACCAAACTTGGCTGGAATCCAATGAGACTTGCATGGGCACAGAGCCTTTCCACAGAGTACAGAGAAGAAAGCAGCTGATTTTTCCTTACAGCAATGGCCATTCATGGAATGCTGCTCTGGAGGGTTCCTTGGCTTTGCAATGAACTCTTCCGGTTTTGCAAAGGGCTGTGGTAGGAGGGAAGTCAAAAAGTCCCCATGCACAAGTCCCAGAAACTTGTCCTTTTTAAAATCAATGGAAGACAGATGAATGAGCCAGATTTGGACTGGCTGGGACTAGCATCGTGAACACGATTTTTCAGTATTCACGTATCATTCCCACTACCACCCAGATACCTGCAACGATACAGACAATATCCATGTGTAGTGTTCAGCAGTAAGATCCTGTCCATGCAGGGCAAGGGGTCAGACATGTCTCAACTCCTGCAAACTGTGGTCTGTTCTGAGCAAGCCAAGCTGTCACAATGCTTTCTACACCCCTGCTCCATGACAGCCTTTTCTGTGTGTCTATCTCATATTTATGGGTTCTGCCTGGGCTTTAGGTTGGTTCAGGTGTTTTCAAGATAGCATCTGAACCTCTGGTCTCTCTCTCAGCCCATCTCTGATTGAGCAGGATTTCCTGTTTTCTTTGTAGCTGCTGGATAGTAGACGACTGGGGGGGGGGGCATGGTTTGCAGCTGTTCCTTATCACTGCAATGTCAGCCTCTTTGTACTGGAAAGCTGAATCCAGGCTGGGGCTTTTGTCCTGTACCTTATGTGCCACTGCACATTCCTTATGCTTCTGCCTGCCTACTTTACCTATTTTTCTTCAGTGTCAAGTGCCTTGGCATACCCTTTGCTTGTTTGCTTCTCTCCTTGCATCTGTGAAGCCGGATACTGGAAAGAGCATCTGGTTGATGCGCAGTGCGGGGGGCATATGCCATGCCAATTCTCAGGGTTGGACAGCGCCTTAGGTTTGCTTATTTATATCCTGCTTTCCTCCCTGATCGGGAGACCCAAAGCAGCTTTTCACATAATTCCCCCCCCCCCCCATTTAATCCTCACCACAATCACCTTGTGAGGGCAGGTTAGGCTGACGGATTGTGACACGCCCACAGTCAACTGGCAGGCTCCCGTGACTAAGCAGGTGATTTGAACCTGGTTGTCCCAGGTCCTAGTCTGACATTCTAACCACTACACCACACCAGGTCTCATGCTTGCTGCCTCATAGGTGTGACTGGGGAAATCCAGATTTTTCCCATCCACATAGCAGCGACTCAGGTTTGTAGCAATTTAGGTTTGTGAAAGATCAGAGAAAAGCCACAGAAACCTTGGAAGGTGCACAAATGCACTACAACACTGTGGGGAAGTAGAGAATAACCCCACTTACCAAAAGCATCACGCCCAGTGCTGATAACCTATGTGGAAAAGGTCTTATGGTGGATGCAATAGGTATTGTGTTTTCTGTTCCTCTGTAGTAAAAGTGGAATGGCCACACTAGGCCTCAGCGCTTATATTTCCCAGGCTCCATACCTATGCTCTGTTAGTGACCACTGCTATTCTTAGCTCCCTGCTGCCACAGAAAACGATGGCATTCCCATCAGTGTTAGAATGGCTGCCTCACCATGTAATCCTTGTCTTGGGGGTATTCTTTAATCTGTGCACACTACACTTTCAAAACCAAGCACAATCAGCGAACCAAGAAGGTTTCGTGTGAGAAGATAATTCATGAATTTCATTTCCCTCCCCAGTCAGCATTCCCTTTTGTGAGGTCAAATCCCTATCTACAAACTGCAGACTTAATGAAATACTGGAAGAGTTATTACCTAACCATCTTTTTAAAAAAGCCCTTTATGAAAACATCTGAATCCCATCTCTCCCTTTTTGGTTGATGGCAGATTACAATTTGTTCTGTTAAAAGCCTAAATATAAAATAAGACCTTTCTTATCGACACTGCACATGAGACCCACCCATGCCTTCTAGCAATCACCCAGATGTGCCATGGCCAGTATGTCTGTGCAGCTGTGAAGTAGGAAAAGCCCTGGTTTATATACTCTGTGCCCCTTGAATTTGTGGCTCCATTAGCACTGGTGTAGCTCTCCTCCTGACACTGACATCAGGAGACTACATACTCTGTAGCCTCAAGACTGTCTTTTGACTGACAGGTTCAGCCCTTTTTTGGGCTCTCAAAGACTTGCCTGTCTGCTCGGCTTCTTTCTTGCTGCTTACTTCAGGTATGGCTGAATACATATATAATTTATACTCTGCATAGTAACAGTTTAAAATTATGGCTTAGATCCCATTGAAATTTACTGCTGGCAGTAGGATTTCCTTCCCCAGAGTATGACTTTCTTGTCTCACCCCTCCTACTGCAGCCCCAAATGCTGATACGGGGGGGGGGATGGGGAACCCCAGCAGCAGCATAAGGGGGGGAGCTTGAGGGTTGTCATTGGAGGAGAGGGAGGCAAGAAAGTGAGTGAAAATCACCCCCCCCCCTTATTGGCTCCAACCCTATGTGCCAAGATACAGCCAGAAAGGTGAATTCAATTTATTTTCAAATCAACTAAAATGTTGTGATGTTATAAAAAAAATACTTCCCCCCGATTTCCTTATGGGAAAAAAGATTTTCACTGCCTACTGTTCTACTCTTCTTACCGTTTCTTTACTTATTCGAGAAGATTTCATGCACGTAAACTCTGGATGCAACATAATATACAATGTACTAATGGCAGCCCAAACATAATAAAATTTTTCCCATGGGTCATCAACTTTACAATAACAATCTCTGCTACCCTCTCAAATCAACAGCGTGGATTTGAACACTGTTATTAATTTATTCATTATATTTTAGTACATAATTACAGAGGAATCAGTCAGAAAGAACTATACCTGATATGAATAAAATTAGATGTCTTACGTGAATAGCTCTTTATAATAGCCCATTTCGGCAGCCGCTTTCTGGAAGTTGCGTTCCGTTGCCTCTACTTGACTTGTTAAATCTGCAACATAAAAATTACTGTAATTATTAATTCAGTCCTGCTTCCCCCTCCCCCAAGGTAGCTCACCAACAATACAGCAGATAGACTTTTATAGGGTGATTTATATCTTGGTGACTGACTTCTTTAATTGCCTCTGTTTGTGATCTGTAGTGAACATACTACAGATGTTAAAATACAAATCTGGTGAGATTTTACACTATTAATGAGAAAAATTATGAAAAAGTATAACATTCTCCTGGTATGGATACCCCATAAAAAAATAGCCAAACAACAGAAACAATAGGAATCAGTATTCCAATAGTGCTTACACAATGAGTAATACATACATTCTTAATTTAAACCCAGGATTCTTTATTGTATATTTTGAACTGCTTTTAAAAACTACATATGATATTAAATGTATATTTTTATTCTGTTTGAATATAAAACCTACACATTTACATTTCTATAAAACCAGTTCGGAAAACCAAGGCTCCGCTTACTTGTAACTGATATCCATCAGATGGTTTTCTGTACAGTCCCACATTGGCACACAAAGGCCACCACATGCACAGTTCCCAAACTGGCACTGTACAGAAGCCACAAAAGCTGAACCCATTCCTACTGTTCTTTTTGTGTTGTTCCATTCTGGTTGCATTACAAGTTACAATACACTCCCACTGGTCCTAGAAACATAAGCATTCGTATAATGGAAAACTGTAATATTCCAGCAACTACTTTAGTTCACAAATGAAAAAAATTAACTTCGTGAAGGCTGATTCACTTTTGACTTCTTTGCAGATGTGGGAATCGCTTGTTCATCTGCACCCACAGGGGCAATGTAATATAATGTGTGAAGCAGTAGTTTCCTTGCCAGACTGATAGACTTGAGCTGCATGCAAGAGAACTAGAACTGCACAGTAACATATAAGGCAGAATCCTAAAGCCATTCTGAAAATGGGTTAGAATGGCAAGTAAGCGGACGTGCTGGTTGAAGATATGCCAAAACAGGATTGTACTGATGTTGCACCAACACAAACCTAATGTCGATTTCTTGTTGAAATCTGTTGAGGCATTGGTCTTTTACTGAATATTGTTTTTAGATAGGTTTTTAAAATATATTTTAACTGTCAATTTGTTGTATTGTGATTATGATGGAACCCACCCTGAGCCCGCTTGTAGGGAGGGTGGGATGCAAATCGAATAAAATAAATAAAATAAATAAATAGATGTAGAGGCCAAAATTGGGCAGCATTGGGAGCATGTCAGGAAGGGAGTGGGATTTAGTTGACACCCTAAGCCCCATTGGCTTCACCTTTTGTGCTGGTATAATGTTACAACAGTGAAAAAGCAGGTGTAAACATCACTATTGAACTCTGCTTCCAACTCACAATACAGCTTAGGAACCAACTAAGCCTGCAACCAACCACAGTTCTCCCAAGCATAACATAAACCCTAGACAGGATTACATTAGCTTAGATGATAGGGCATATGACACAAGGCTACATCAATTAGGTACTTATGAAGTTATCTTATACTGAATCAGACCATTAGTCCATCAAGGTCAGTATCCTCTACAATTGCCACAGCATTTGGCTAACACTGCCCTGGCTCACAACTCTTCCAAGTACTTCAGCTCAGGATGCAAACACTCACCTGGACCCCATACTTCTCCCACTCAAGATGCAAGGAAATTTAGTTGGATGGGGAAGCAAGGGAGGGGAGGTCCCTAGTGCAAACTCTGACTGCTGCTACCATCCCCCTTCCTCACTACATGGTACTCCAACAGGCACCCCTCCTTCTTCAGGAATCCTTAGAACACAAGGAGTGCATGCTAGCCATGTACAGTGCTCCAAGGGGGAGGGGAAGTTGCAGTTATGCGGCCAGTACACCTGTGGCAGCTCACAAGGCTGTCACCCCACATGCAAGAGGTGGGAGATGGGTGGCATCCCACCACAAACTGTGAACAAGAAAGAGAAACAAACTTAACCCTGAAACCTAGGATCAAGAACCTTAAAAAGGTAAGTCAAACAGAGTAGAGGGCCAACAATTAAAACTTATTATATATAACTAGGGGGCGAAGCCCGTTGAGGAGGTAGACAACGGGCCGGCTAGACAGGTAGGGTGGGTGGGTGAAGGGAGGAAGGGGGGAGGGAGAACGGTGGCCCCATCTGTCTTGCGAGGCAGGTGGGTGGGCGAAGGGGG